TCTTGCTGTAGTCCCAGATAAACCACCAATAGAAATTGGTGAATCTTAGAAATGATTAGAGTTTCTTTTTTTTAGTCAGCTTGGGCTATTCCATTACTCTGGCAATCTTTACTGGGTCCATGCAGATACTTTTCTCACTGATGATAACTGTCAGATACTCCATTTTCAACACCTCAAATTCACATTTCTCCATCTTGAGAAACAATTTATGCTTTCTCATCAATTTTAGAATCTGTCATATCAGTCTTTGGTGCTCCCTCTGGTCCTTAGACATTATGAGGATGTCATCCAGGTATATGGTGATCTTCTCAGTGGTGATGAGATCTTTGAATATATTGTTCATCATCCATTAGAAGATGACAGAAGAATTGATAAGTCTAAAGAATATGACAGTTGGTTCAAAAAGTTCTTAGTTTGTTCAGAAGGTGATCTTCCATTTGTTGCCTTTCTTAATGTGCATGTTGTTGGAACTCTATTAGACATCAAGCTTCATATAGTATTTGGCATCTCTGAGCTTGTTTATGAGTTCAGAGATTAATGGAAGAGGGTAGCAGTTTTTGATCATTATTTTATTTAATTTTTGATAATTCTGTATGAGTTGGAGTTTTCCATCTTTCTTCTTGATGAAGAAGAACAGTAATACTATTGACAACTTCAAGAGTTAGATCTATCCACTGGAGAGATTTTCTTTCAGGAATTTATCAAGTTCTTGTTGCTTATAATGATCAAATAGGTATGTTTTGTAGTTAAGATTGGTGTTTGTGTTTGAGACTAATTTGATAGCATAGTCTCATGGTTTTGGCTCTGGCAACTCATTGAAGCTCTCTTTTTCAAATAAGTCTTAGTAATCTCATGCCCACTTTAGCATCATCTCTTTGAAGGCCCTCTCTTCCTTCTGTGTATTCACTTTTGCTGCTAGGTCATTGGCATAGTGCATAGTGTGCAGGTGTAGAGCTGATTGGATATTGATAGTGAGAATAGTCTCTCTATCTTCTATTTTCTCATTCCACTAATCTTCTGGATCTTTATTTAGCAATTCAAATAGTATTTTCTGGCACTTGCAGCATGCAAAGATAATTCAGCCAGTTTTCCAGTTAATGAGTAGATTATGGCAGATTAGCCAGTCATATCCTAGAAATATTTCCTTGGTTCCTAAGTCAGTAACAGCTAAATTGATTTATTCAGAGTTATTGCTGATTATTAGTCTAAGTTTGATAAATTTGATAATCAAACCAGCTTATTTCTTGGTGCCATCAGCATTATACACAAGGATTGAAGCTACTATGATCTAGGTAGGAAGTTGATGCTTCTGGACTTTAGTGGTTAAGTCCTGTCCTGGTGTTTTGGCTCATTGGATGTATCATCAAGACCCATAAAGTTCATTGAGCCACTCCAGAGCTCAGCACTGTTCTGCCTTCTTCATTTTTCTGATCATCTTATCAATGACTTTTTTAGCTTGGGTTTTGTGTACCCAATTCTTGAGTACTGCCTTTGCTGCTTTCTCTGTTGATGCTTTTTTGATGGCTTGCCAGATCCATTTAGTATCAAACAGCTTGAGCCACTGGATGGGGGTCTCTCTCTCTGTTCAGCCCATAGGTGGTTGAGTTTGGGTTTTTGGCAATTCATTAGCAGGGTATGTAGTTGAGGCAGATATATTTGAATGCATGCATAATTTAGACATATAAGTACTTACAGAAGAACTATTAGTCCATCCAGTAGCTATATTGACTGTTCTGCTAAGTCCTTTGGCCAATCCAGTGGAATTGCTCACTGGTCAGCTCCATCTTTTACCTCTTCAATCTTTGTTTCAGCTCTGAGTGCTTTGTTCTCTTTCTGGAGCTTGGTGATCTATACTCAGATATCTTCTCTTATTCTCTTCTTTTTTAGGCAATCCTTCACTATATGGTCCTTCTATCCACAATTGAAGCACTTCCTCTCTTTCTTCATGCGATTGATATTCATCAGTTTACTGATTCCAGTGTAAGTTGTGCTGATTCTGGTTTTCTGCATGGTATAGGAGAGTGTCAGGGTGCTGGATTTGGAGAGAGTGCTGGTCTTTTGATTAGAAGACATGCCAGCCTTCTTGTCAAGTTGTAGCCCAGTGTTTGCCACCTTTTGTCAAAGTTATTTCTTGTTCATTTTAGTAATTCTATCTTTCCATGTGTTGTATCCTTTTAGAATGTTGGTTCTGATGTCAGAGATCATCTTTATGTATGGTGCAGAGACTCTGAGTTTGAGATACTCAACTATTCTCCTGTCATTGTCAACACTTTCCTGCATACCAGCCAGTATTCCTAGTCATTCTAGCTCATTGAAATATTCACTCATGACTTTGTTGCTGACTATTCATAACTTCTTCATCTTATTTTTATATACTTCTTGGACAGTAGAGTCAATGAATTTGTCATGTACTATCTGTTTAAAGATGGGTCAGATTGAGAATTGGTGATGCTGTTGGATGGAGGAATAGAACATGAGGGAGATAAGTGTTCACCAACATTTTGCTTTGCTTTTGAAATAGGAAGCCATAAAAGCCACCTTGTTCATGTCAGTTTTGAGATATATGATATATACCTCAAAGTATTATTTTCAATTAATCAGGAATCAGTCAATATTATCAGATGCACTCTTAAAGAGGCAGGAAGTTCAGAGGAGGTTGGGTTTGCACTGTAGGATAACAGCATTCTAAGGTAGTGCTCTCATAGAATTGGGATATTTATTGAATGGTAGTTGGTGCCATTCAGTTGGAGATCCAGAGAAAGAGTGAAGGGAATTGTTATCAGTGCTAGGACTTTCTTGTGAGATGGTATTCTTTTATATAATTATGCCATTCTTGACAGTAAATCCTAACCAGATGGCCTTAGAATCATCTTTAATTGGATCCTTTTCAGTCTCACTCCCCTCAGTCTCATCTAGTGGAGGTTGACTGCTAAGAAGGTGACTTCTCTTACTAGTCCATGGGTTGTAGAAGCTGGCTGATCAATTAGTCAGTCATAGTCAGAGTAAGAAAAGCTGAGTTGCTGATGATAAAACTAATGGAGTGGAGTATAAAAATTGGCTTGTGATAGTTTAGAATGATAGTGCCATGTATGTGACATGCCTCAGGATAACAGAGAGCATCTATGGCATTGGTTTGATATCATATTTTGACATGTATTTAGGCAGCTTGCCAAGTTAGTCCTTGAGGTGCCTTTGATTACAACTAGAAACTGCATATTTAATATCAGCATATCATAAAATATCCTCCTTTTCTGAATTATCTGCTGAGATATACTGTTGTTTAAGGAATAAGACTATCCAGGCTGTGTCCTGCTATAAAAAGGCTATACCATCCTGGTATAACTGATTGTTCCTCCCTAGTGCACTGTACTTCTTTCAATAATGCTTCTTCATCAGTCAATTCATTGGTGTATTCTCTAAGTTGTTTCCAATCAAAAGAGATGTCATTCTCCATGTCATTCTCATTGCTGTCCTCATCCACCTCTTCTCTGCTGTCCTCTGCAAGGGAGTCATCAAGCAGGTTGTAAGCTAACAGCTCCAGGAGTCTGATTGTTGCTAGCAAACTGGTTATTGACTTGGTTACTTGGCTCAACAATGCTGGCTAGAGGAAGAGGCTGAAGGATGATGGCTCTGAGATCAAGATCATATCTATGGCCCCCATGTGCTTGTGCCTTCTCCAGGTCTCAGCTATAGACATAGAAGTTGGCATAGAACCAAGGGTTAAAAAAGAGTTGAGTAACTCTTCCTCCTAAGAATCACTAGAGCCTTCTGTCAGAGATGTGGATATTGAGGAGAACTCAAAGCCCATAAGCATCAAGTATAGAGTCAGAGTAGAAGAGGATGGTATCAGTGGTAGCAATACTAATGGCTCTAGGAGAAGGAATGTCATCTCTTCAGGGAGAGAGAGTGTTGTCCCTCTTTGCAGCTTCACTGGGAGTGACAGAGCTATATGGCCCTGCTTAGAGATTGGTCTCTGTTCTGAGGATGCTGGGCTCCTGGAACAGGGAGCAGATATGTTCTGTTCATAGGTCAGAGGCATGAGAGCTGAAAGTGCTCCACTTGGCAGCTTCAAGCTCTCACTGTTGTCAATGATACTGCATGTCATATAACTCATTATATTAAAGGGTTTCTCTCTGTGCTTGTTCTTCTTCTGCCCAGTCAAAGTCTTTGAGAATCTCCTTGCTGACTGCTCTGAGCTCTTCTTCAGTAAAGTCTCAAGAATAGTAGTCAATAATATCTTAGACTATTTGTTATAATTTTTCTTCCTTCTATTCTCTTTATCTCTATCTTATGCTTAGTCAGAACATCTAGAACCAGTGCTTAAGACTATGGGACAGTCTTGGTCAACACAATCAACCATTGTTTTGTGATATATAGCAATGCTCTGACCATGACATAATTTGACTTTTGTAGATAATCATAGCACTCTAAGATAATGAGCACTATAGGACAGACATTCATAATAGATAGCATTATATTTATCCAGACAATAAATGATATATAAGTAGTGTAGTTAACACCATGTATTTCTAGTCTCAAACTATTTTTTATCTATACCATTTAATCTTAAGTCAACTATTGCATTGACCTTGAGACATATCTCTGCTACACTTAGTGGACTCAACTGTGACTGTACAAACTTGATACAGTGGTTTTTTATCATATGTTAGTGGTCACATGTTGTCTGGGCCTAACAATTAGTTCAAGACTTCTACTTTCCTTTCCTCATACCCATCATGAGCAAAGGAAACTGAATGCCTGCCATTAACATCACTACTACCAATCTTATCAACAAATTCTTTAAGCTATTAGCTTCTATTATAGGAATGCTTTTAGGCTTGCTTACCATTATTACACTTTGCTGTAGATATCAATCAATTACAGCTTGGGTAGTCAGGCACTATCAATCTTTTGTATACATTCAACAGATACTATGAAATATCACCTCCAACCTCTCTCTCTATGACATTTCTGCCTCTGTCAGAGCCTTTTTTCAGCTCATGCTCAAAACTGTACCTGAAGTCAGGACTAGTCATGCAGATGAAAGAGGTGCTGAAGAAAAAGAACTCTGGATAGGACCCCCTCAAGCAGCTGATAGACACAATAAGCATCAGAACACAGGATTCCAAAATCTGTGGGTCCTGCTGCACCTCTCTCCAGTCTCAGATCACAAAGATAAAAACCTCTTCAATAATTTCTTTGAGGAGTTGCCTTTGTCCAACCCTTTCACTGCCTCCCATGGGCCTGGCATTGGAGACCATGCCTGGAACTCCATTAATGAGGTTGCAAGACTTGCAGAAAGAGGCTCCAGATACATCACCCCCTGTGAGAGCCTCATCCCCTTAACCTCTAGTTCCCTTTCTTTAACACTGAGTCACTTCAGAGAAACCAGCACCCACTACTCTGCCAGAATAGAGGTCAAACAGTGGAAGAGAGAGGGCTATGATCTCTTGAAGGAGGAATGAGAGCATCTCAAGTGGGAGGCTGACAAAGAATTTGCCTGACAAAAGCAGGAGGCCAACAAAGCCTATTATAAGCATCAGCAGTGATAACAGGCCAGAGCAGTATAAGCAGCTGAGTGAAGCTCAGCCTCCTCAGACTATTACAAACTATATGAGGGAAGAGAAGGAGATTTATACTATAAAAGAGAAGATAAAGCAAGAAACCTTAATGACAACTATGAGCCCCCACCTTCTACTTACAAAGAAAGTACTGAGAGCAGCAGCTCACTTCCCTCTAACACCAGTTCTATTCTCAAAGGATATAGAATCTGAGTCTCTTCTGAGGCCAGAGTCTCCAATCAAGCTCTCAGATAATTCTTACAAGAACATGTTGCTACTCTCTTCCTCAATGATGACTTCTACCACAACTTCTACCAATATAGCCAGAGAATGAAGGGTGAAAGAGAGTGGCAAAGAAACAGTGAAGCCAGAAGAGCTGAGCCCTCTTGACTTGATCAGTGGTCTTTTACTCAAACTAGCATCAGAGGCCAAACTAACAGAGAGCTCTCTGGCAACAATTCAAGCTTCCAAACTGTCTAGCTACAACCAGCCTGATGTCTTCCCTGAGGAGGACAGTGAGACAGACAACAAGGAGAATGAGAAGGATAGCAAGAATGAAAAGAAGGATATCTCTAGCATGACTGATCTCTGGATAACATATGAAGATACTGATGAAGAAGAGCTAGAGAGGACAATTTAAGAGACTAGAGAAGAGAAATTTGAGGCACTGTACTGGGAGAGTATAGCAACACTATAGAAAGAAATCAGCTGGCTAATGACTTCTCTGGGTAGGAGGTATTCAGTTGCTGATAATGAAGAACAAAGATATATTTTATAGTATGCCACAACTGACCATGCCATTTACATTTATAACAGTATGCACTCAGAGAATCTGCTCAAGACCTTGCTGGCCTTCAAGTACAAAGTCCAACCATTACCATCAACTCTACCAATTCTCCTGCAGCAAGCCATATATATGGCCCCATTAATCTGAACACCCCAAACCAATTCTCTCACTCAGCTATAGCCAGCTGAAAAGCTGCCCCACAGCCTGTATAGTCTAGACTACAGGAATCCTTACAGCCAGTTTGTTACAATTTTCTTATTTTTCATTTCATTTCTTGCAGTATTAACTCCTATTTATGCTTAGTCAGGGTATTTGCACCAGTGTCTAGAGCCATAGGATGACACTAGGACTGTGGGGACATTTTAATCAGCATAGCCTTCCATGATCTGAAACATGAAGCAATGCCCTGACACAAAACAATCAGCCTATTGTAGGTAGCTACAATACTCTAAGACAATAAGCACTATAGCACTGACACTTACAATTAGCAGTACTATATTTATTAGAGAGACAAATGGTATATAAGTAGCATAGTTGCAACAAGTATCCCTAGTCTTGAACTATCTTTTATTCTACTGCTTTATCTTGAGTCAACTACTTGCATTGACCTTAGGATATAATATCTACAAACACATCAAGTGGACTTAAGCATGATTGTATGAATATGATACAGTGCTTATTTACTATGTGTTATAGAGCATGTGTCACTTGGGCCTAACACAGTTGGATTTCAAAATCCATAGATCAATCAGAAGAGATGGTTACTTGCTGGTGCCAGACAAGCATCAGCAGATGAAACAGAGAGAGATAATCCTGAGGCTACACAGCTTAGATTCACTATACAAAATGGATGCATCATATGAAAGGAGGCACAGCTGGAAGAAAGCCCTGTGGCCAATAATGAGTCATCACACTCTCTCCCAGAGTCTCCAGCAGAATGGAAATGACTGTCTTTTGATGAATATCCTAATCTAATGGTCACACTACCCCAGAACATGGCCATGCTCTAGTGCAAACCCAATCTACTCTGCACTCTCCAACCCTTCAAAGGTGCATCAGATGACATTGATTGCTTTCTAATCAACTGCAAACAGTACTTCAAAGTCTATACTGCTTATCTTAGTTCTGACATGAACAAAGTTGCCTTTGCCACTTTTTACTTTGAAAGCAAGGCAAAGTGCTGATAGATCCTGATTGCCCTGACCCTCCAATCTACTACCCACTAATATTACCACTACCCATCCTGAGCTGTTTTCAAGCAGATGATCCAAGATAATTTTATCAACTCTGCTATTCAGAAAGTTTATAAGAACAAGATGAAGGAGTTGCACATGGGTGACAAAATCATCAGCAAATACTTTGATGAATTGGAGCAATTAGAAATATTAGCAGGAGTCCAAGAGAGTGTCAACAATGACAGATAAATAGTAGAGTACCTCAAGATAGAGGTACCATTATTATATATCAGCATGATCTCTAACATTGGCACTAACATCCTGAAGGGCTATGATATATAGAAAGCCCATACCACAGAGATGAATAAGGAGAGACTATGACAAAAGGCAGCAAGTGCAGAAATTACCACCAAATAGAAGAAATCCCATCAGACTGAGAATAGGAAGAACACTAGCAGAGGATTCTCAATGAAGCCCAACACTTCAACAACTTTGATCTCTTCCTATACCACTCAGAAGACAGGGACAGAAACAACCTATACTGGTAGTGAGAAGCTAATAGATATTGATTGGCTTAAGAAAGAAGGAAAGTGCTTCAACTGCAGACATCAAGAGACTGCCCAAAGAAAAAGCACATCTGAGAAGATATATGAGTGCAGATTGTGGAATTACAGAAGGAGGCAGAAAGGTTGAAAGATCTGAGGACTGACACTCAAGTTGAGAAGGTAAAAGACAGGGCCAACAAGTGAGCAATTCCACTAGATCAGCCAAAAGACTGAACAGTATGTCACCAGTAGCTGCAGGTTGGACTCATATGCCATCTGTAGATACAACTATTTATGCACATTCAAATATACTCTAAGTTGCTACAAGACCACCTAGAGAATCACCTAAAACCCAAACTCAAGCACCTTTGGGCTGAACAAAGAAAGAGACCCTTAATGAATAGTTAAAACTATTTGACATAGAGTGGACTTGGCAAAGGATCAAGAATGCCAAGACCAATGAAGAAGTCATTATCATGCTGCATGGATAGATCCATTGATCAAAGGTCACTAAAGCAGATAGCAACTTGGTTGAAAGAATATAAAAAGCTGGAAGAGAAACAGCACTAGAGTGGTTAGATGAACTTTGAGGACCCAAAAAGTTCATTCACTGCCAGAAATTGTATGAACAGGATCTTACCACTAAGGCCCAAATACAGATGCTTATAAGTTATGCCACCTTTGCAGTCACTGCTTTAATCAACAGTGGGTGCATGGAGAGTTCTATCAATTGGGCCTTTGTCAACAGGCACTAACTCTCTACCAAAGCAACAGCTGCTCCAATCTCAGTTTACAATGCTGACAGCACCAAGAACCAAGCTGGTTCAATCACTGAATTTATAGAACTCTAACTAACCATCAGAGATCACTCTGAAAGGATCAATCTTGCTGTCACTGAGCTAAGGACTAAGGAGTTATTCTTAGAACATAATTAGCTGATATGTCATAATCTGCTTATCAACTGGAAGACTGAATATATCACCTTTGCCTGATGCTGCTGTCAGAAGATGCCTTTTGCACTTCCAGACAGTGACTCTGAGGACAGATAAGATAAAGAAATAGAGGACAGAGAGACAATCCTTGTGGTAGACTTAAATCTGGCACTCCAACTTTGAGCCATCCACCATGCCAACAAATTAGCAGCCAAAGCAAATAAAAACAAGAAAGAACAAATGTTTGAAGAGATGGTGCCTGATTGAGCATAAGACTACTAGAACCTATTCACTAAGGAAAGCTTTGATGAGCTATCAGAGTTCAAACTATGGGATTATATGATCAAACTGATTCTTAATGCTAATGCTAATTTAGACTGCAAGGTCTATCCTCTCAGATATCACAAACAGCAGAAGTTGGATGAGTTTCTAGATGAGAATCTCATTAGCAGAAGGATTCAGCCATCCAAGTCACTGATGGCCTCTCTCTTCTTTTTTGTGAAAAAGAAGGATAAGAAGCTTTGACTAGTACAGGATTATCACTGACTAAATAAAATAATCATTAAAAATTAAAACCCCTTTTCATTGATATCAGAACTCATAGACAAGCTTCAAGGAGCCTGATACTACACCAAATTGGATGTCAGATGGGGGTACAACAATGTGCAGATCAAAGAAGGAGATAAATAGAAGGTGGTCTTTTAGATCAATCAAAGACTATTCAAATCAATAGTTATGTTCTTTAGACTGACCAATTTTCTCATGACATTCCAGTGAATGATAAATGATATTTTCAAGGATCTAATAGCTACAGAGAAGATAACCATCTATCTTAATGACATATTAATTATGTCCAAAGATAAGAAGAAACATCATCAACTGGTCCAACAAGTCTTTGAGCTGATGAGAAAGCACAAGCTGTTTATTAAAGCTGAGAAGTGTAAATTTGAAGTCCTGGAGATGAAATATTTGAGTGTGATAATCAGCAAGAGAAGCATACAGATGAATCTGATTAAAGTTGCTAGGGTCATGGAATAGCTAAAGCTGATAAAGAAAAAGTTATTTGTCTCTCTCTCCTTGCTTCTTCAGTGGTAAGGACCTCAGCAGGTCCATCTGCTTATAGATTATGATCATCATTACTGCTTGGCTCCTGAAATACAGGTGTGGATAGTAAGAGCTCTGATCAGAGCCTATATCAGTCTGGCAATCTCCTGTTGAAGCATGTGGCTTCAGTTGTATGCTGCTGATCATAGTGCTGTTAGTCATACTCTGTGGCCTCAAGGGCCCTCTGTCACTCCTCCAAGATGTAGATGGTGAGTACATCTCATGCTTGCTCATGTTCTGAGGCTTCTCTCATCTGTTGTTCTTCCTCTCCTCTCATCTCTGTTGCTTGTTGTCAGCATGCTGAGAGAAACTCCTCCCCATCCTGGCACTGATCCCAGAAGAGAGAGGAGAAGTCATAGTG